GGAAGAACAGGTAGCAGGGTGGACTGGGAGATGTTTTGATGATTTGCTGGTAGGCGAGTAGTTTTTGATATGCCTCAATAATAGGCGGTGTTGATTTATTACGCCAATAGCCCAAGTTTCTCAAATGCTATTATGGAATTCCTCAACAATTTCTATAGTACCGTTCTGATAGGAAAGTAACTTACTTATGAATTTTATTGCCAGCCATTGCCTTCTGTTATCAAGTGGTTGTGCTGCTCCTTCTGAGAGAAGGATGTTTGTAGGTGTGGATTTCATGAGGCCAAGACCTGTCCTCAGTGCCTGGTATTGTACTCTATCCAGTTTCTGGAGTTGAGCTTTGCTACAATCCCCTAGTAGAGTAGAGCCATAATCGAGATGTGGACGAACAATGGATTTATATAGTATTAGTAGAGTACTAGGGTGAGAGCCCCACCAGGTGCGGCAGAGATCTCATTAGGTACTAAGTTTTTAATCTAAGATTTTCCCTAGATAACGTACTTCTCTAGACCAGGGTATCCTGTTGCCGTTCAGGTGTATGATGTCAACGGGCCTATTGCCCCTGTGGAATGATATTGCCTGGCTTTTTTGAGGAGATATTGTCAAGCCAAGTTCAAGGAGAGCAACTGAGATGTTTTCTAGTGATCTGTTCAAGTGATTTGCTACCTGTAAAGGACTCCCGCCAGTCCCAAGTAGGGAAATGTCATCGGCATATTGAACCCACATGGTGTTTTCTTCTACTAAATTGGCTAGATTATTGCAGTAGATATTGAAAAGCAGAGGACTTGGAGGCGATTCCTGTGGGAGACCCAGACTAGTGATTTGAGGGCCTAGATATTTCTGCGTTGAAGGATCTTTAACATAGATAGCTCTATTAGACAGGAAGTTCGTAACAAGGACAATAATGTCTGAAGAGAAATCCAGCTCCGCCAGTATAGGAGCACTAAATCAACAAATTTCTTGTCTGCCATTGCCGCACTTGTATTGGCAACTATGTTGGTAACACTTTCCATGACTCCTCTTTTCTATCGGAAACCATTTTGCCAGGGATTGAGTAGCTGATTGCTCTCAAGGTGCCAATCCATGCGATTTTCATTTATTTGTTCCAGCTTCCCGGGACAGGATGCCATTGTAATTGGTCTCCATCCAGCTCATTTGAATCCTTATTGGGTTTTGGGATTGGGCAAATGAGTTGGGTATTCCAGCTGTTTGGAAACTTTACAGTGTTTTGTAATAGACGGTTATTTAGGGAGAGGAGCAACTATTGCAGAATCAGGGAGATGTTGTATCATTGAAAAGGTTGGGGGTGTTAATCTATTCAACAACTCCTGGCCAAAGTCTTTATTGCTAGATAGTCTTGCTGTGTAAGGGGATGTAGCTCTATGGTATCTTTTTACAGATTTCCATATTGTAGTTAGGGGTGTGTTAGGGGAGAGTTCTTCGCAGAAGCTGCGAAAGGCTTCCTTACGCTTTTCACGAGGTACTTTCCTTGTAATTGCTTTTTGTTTTTTAACGCATATAAAATTTTTAACAGTAGGTGAACGTCTAAACGCTTGGAAGACTTCTCTCCTAGACCTGAAGGGCTTCATCTGCAAATTGTAGGGTAGTGATCGCTATTTCCGCATCTGGAAACACCGACCAAGCGCAACTCAAAGCTATTTGAGGGGAGCATATCGTTAAGTCAGGCACACTGGTGATGCCAGAATGAGTTACCCGAGTTTCTCTGGTGAGTTCCCCTGTATTGAGGACCACTAGGCTATGAAGGTCGATGAAATCATGCATGAAGTTACCATAATTATTATCGTTGGTGGACCCCCATGAGCCATGCTGACAATTCAGATCTCCTATGATTATTTTTGTTCATTACTTAAACCCAATCATCTCCCTAAGAGATGTGTTCTCATTGGAATATCAGGGGGGATATAAACGTTTACCAGAACAAGGTTATCAAGCTCTACGACTACGGTTTGCCACCGCTCCGGGAAATTCAAACCTGAAATGTCTACCAATCGGCTCGGGATGTCTTGACGTACATATGTCGCGAAACCTCCCCAACCAACATCTCTATCTACCCTGTAACTATAGAAATTGCTGATTTTTCCAATATCTCTGTGAAAGTGAGTTTCATTGATAGCCAGAATATTTGCATCAAGGTCACGAATTAGAATTATTCACTTATCTCTGTTATTATGAAAGCTATTAATATTCCATTATAAGATCGTATAATCCATTGTTTTTGGTTTGTTTTTCTTTTTTGCTAGTTGGCTTGTTTTTTTCTTCTTCTTCTAACTAAAGTTTTTTTAGTTGTTAAAGGAGGTTTTCTTCAAGGTCTCAAAAAACATCATAATCCAAACTGCTGATCATTTTTCGAGGTTATATGCTTATTAATTTGTTGTGAATTATTTTTCGTTTTCAGTAGTGTGTATCTTTAGCATTATAGATCTTATATCATTTACACATGTCACTGGGCTTTGCCTGTTGGATGTAAATAAATAAATAGATGAATAACTTTTTGTTTTTCTGAGGTTAAACTTTCTAATGTAGCAGAGGTTTGCAGAAAAGGTGAAGGGTTCATATAACAGGAGGTACTTTGTTCAACTTCAATGTTATATGTTTCAATGGGCCTATCTCCCACAGGAGAGGGCTGTGATAATACAGGTTTGATTGGGGTACGAGTGGATTAAGGGAAAAGGTTCTGCCTGTGTTCTTCCATATTATAACCTGGGGTTCTTTCTACAATTGTATTTTTTCGTTTAGGGGAAGAGAATCTATTGGAATGTATTAAGGATGCAGTTCTGTTGGCATATGAGCGTGGAGAGGAGGGATGAAGGTTAGGAAAGTCCTGACCCCTTTTTGGGAATCCATAATCATTATCACGATTGGCCATCACTGGCCATCATTGAGCTGCTTCATGATAAGACAGATTATTGAAGGTCATAGCTTCAATGATGTTTCTTTGACGCTCGAATTCTTTACAGCTTCTATTCCTAGCTGAATGGTTTTCATCACAATAAAATAATTTTTCTGTAACAACTTGATATTCTGTCTCTAGATGCATTTCGCCACATTTTGCACAACGTTCCTTTCCTCTACATTGCAGTTTTGAGTGACCAAATCTCGAACATTTGAAGCATTGTGGCCAGGTAGCCGTGCGGACAGAGTGTCTATATTCTAATTCGCATTCGCTTGCCGGTCGTGGGTTCGATCCCCGTCGACTGCAGAAATTTTTCTGATGGCCCAAGAAAGTGTTTGGGATCACACGTTAAAAGGTAAGGCCCCCGTCATTCCTTGCTCGCACAAGACTTTCGAAGACTTTTTTTGAGGGTTGCTCGTAAGGGGGCAACCGAATGACGGATAGAACAAAAAACAACAACAAAATTGTTGTACAGGAGGCACATAATGTTCCACTAAAACTATTGTGGAGAATATAACAATATTTTTCGGTAGAGTACGCCCCTCAAAATGTACCTGAACTGTCCTGGTTAGAACATATTTCACTCTCTGGTCTTCAAGAATAATTACCCTTCTGTTAAGGCGTTTGGCTCCAGTTATCTTTTTTGCTGATGTGGATTATGTGTTAATGTCTTCAATAGTCACACTATGCCCTATATCCCTGATTATTCCTCGTGTACTCAACAGTCTTTGGGGTATATATGCTAGATAGTCTTTTTAAGCCAACACTTCATTATTTCGAAGTTCATTTGCATAAACCGATGTTTCTTATTTTTACACCTTTTCTATTTATATTCTTCATGCCTTTAATCTTCATCTGGTGAAGAATTTTGCCTAAGTCCATGGGGTGCATGTTCCCTACTCTACCTCTCTTAGCCTCTACCATGATGGTAAATGGACGAAAGTCTGTCAAATTGTTTTTCTGTTTTTAGCCACTAATACTCTTGTGATATTTTTCATAAATCATCTCTTCATGTAAAACTGATTCCCATAAAATTTTTAGTTCATTTTCAAGTGTTTGAATATTTCTGGATAGAATTGGAGAAAGCATGAGGTGATTCTAATGTTAATCTAGCTGTTGGTGATAGGTGTTCAAGTATCTTGTTCCCCACATTTGATTCTGTTGGTCCCGCGCCCCTAGGGGGCGGGTCCCCATCCATGTTCGAAGCCACTAGCTACTAACCTCTATGAAGCACGTGCAAGCTTCAAGCAAACGCGAAGAGAAAGGAAAACACTTAAAGTTTTTGGTGCTGCAATGCCTACACACTCTTTGAAAATCTGATGTAGGATATTTCTTCTCGATCACTTTTCTAATTAGATAAGTCCGAAAGCCCTGCTCTGTTCGACCACCCAACCAAGCTTCAAATTGTTCTTCTGAGCCCACCCATCAGTCATCTGTCATCGGTCAGCTGTCATCAACTGTCAAATGTCATTGGTCATCGGTCATACGTCAACGGTCGCACGTCATCTGTCATCGATCATCGGCCATTGTCGTCGAAGGCCCTTTCGGTCATTCTGAAAGAGTAGGTTAGATGGGGGATTCTTCCCCCCAACAAGGGTAGGTTAGAGGAGTAATGTTAGGTCAGGTCACGTTTCATCTGTCATCAAATGCCATGCGGTCATCGGTCATTTGTGGTAATGTTAGGTAAGATCCCTGAACGGCGTTGGAACGTCCAAACAACGTTGGGTTAGGCAGGTATTTCATGTAAGAATAATGCATGGGTTAGATAGGGGTCGATTGCGCTGAGAGCGGCATAGGTGCACTACTTCTGAAGTTTGCCTAGACTTTTTGTGAATAATTGATTAGATGTAGCCGAACCAGAGCGTTGACTTTCGGAGAGGTCAGACGCAGCGAAGTATCAATAACTTCTGCGATGTTATCCAACGTTGAATGATAATTTGCCCACAATCACCTTGTGAGTTTCATCCACACTTATGAACATATACATACTAAGAGAAATATTAACTTTTTTCCGCGATGAAGTCCGGGGAAATTCAATTCTCGCTATTGAAGTCGTATGCACTTCTTGCATAAATAACTAATTACTTACGTTGCAATGGATATGACATTCTTGACTCCGTACATTTTCAAATGTGCTGTAGCGAAGGCTCTTCCTTGAGTAAAAACATCAGTAACTTGGGAAGGCAGATATGTAGTAAGATATCCCATCCAACCAGATTCCTCAACACTTCTGCGCGGACTGAAATAAGAGTGAGGTCAGGTAAAATGTTCATTCCACAAAGACAACCAGAGCACTGCGAACACATATAGTGATGAGCGTTGTTTCCACTCGTCTGTGAAAATGTGCTGCGTGTTGAAACGATGCAATGAAGTAAAGGAATGATTGATGAGTGTTGCCTTGCAGTGTAACACTAGTTGCGTTTTATTTTTTCCATTCTGGTAGAGGTGGTGGAAACAGAATGGCATTTACAAATAGAACGAGGCACTTCATGACCTCACATAAGAGAATTGACATATTATAGATGGAGGTTAATGGAGGATTTAATTATATATTAGGGCTCCGAATAATTTCATAATCAAATATTAGAGTTAAGAATCTAGAAAATGAATCAACGACAAAATATCTTCTAAATGTCTAGTTTTCCGTCAATCTGAACGAATTTTTTGACAACTGTCAATAGTATTTCCTTGTAGGGAGACGGAATGAAAAGTAGCAACCAGAATCGGAAAAGTTGCAAATAAAACGATACATTAAGTGAGTCCGGTGGCGGAATCGGATAAATAAAACGCAACTACTGTTTGCAATCATGCACTCCTGTCGTTCCTCTCCATTCCTCTTCGTTCATCGAAAAGCACGTACGAGTGTAAAATGGGCACACTTCAGCTTATTTTCGCAGCGCTGTGTTTTTTCTATACAGGGAGGTGCAATAGTGCGCCAGAGTTCGATTGATCGAATCTTATGATAGCTAGAAACACGATTAAAGAACGAATGTAAACTAGATATCCGTCTATAAAGGGGGCAATTGTTCTCAATGAAATGCCAAATGGGCACACTTCAGCTTATTTTAGCAGCGCTGTGTTTTTTCTATACAGTGAGGTGCAATAGTGCGCCAGAGTTCGATTGATCGAATCTTATGATAGCTAGAAACACGATTAAAGAACGAATGTAAACTAGATATCCGTCTATAAAGGGGGCAATTGTTCTCAATGAAATGCCAAATGGGCACACTTCAGCTTATTTTAGCAGCGCTGTGTTTTTTCTATACAGTGAGGTGCAATAGTGCGCCAGAGTTCGATTGATCGAATCTTATGATAGCTAGAAACACGATTAAAGAACGAATGTAAACTAGATATCCGTCTATAAAGGGGGCAGTTGTTCTCAATGGAATGCCATGTATATTAGCACATTTTCTAAAGCAATTCAGTGATCTTCAACTACTTTTCTAATATTTTTGAGGTTCCTACTCGACTTTCGCAGCAGAAGGACGTGTTTCTGCCGACAACTCCGTTATCTAGTTCGCCGCGAAAGAAATAAGTGATAAAAACATAAATACTAAAAACATTCTAGCGCTATATTAACCCGAGTTTTTCCAACGAAATTAGTACCAGTGAAATGGTACACCAAAATAAAATTAGTGGATAACAGATAAGTTTCCATGTTTCTAAAACCTTTCCCAACATAACCCAATAACTGGGTTTTATCACACAGCAATCCAAACCAACAAGGTTTCTTGTGTTTCTGACCAGAAGAACAAACAGCTCCACATTAAGCATTCTCGCGACAACCAAACAGCTTAACAATTGAATCCTCTAGCGGAGATCTTATTACAACTGATGAGTTCGTAGGTAGCCTCTCTGAAGAAGAAAACTACTCAGAAAACACCAGACATACATGGCAGTCAGTCAAAAAACGAAAAATAATGCACTCGTCTAAGACTCCAACGACGAAACTTAATATGTCCACCATCCATCAAGGCCACAGAATAGTTAACATCATCGGCAGAACTCTAGAAAGAAAGGAGCATTTCAATAGAGTATTCCTAGATTTCTCTCAAGCATTTGATAAAGTATGGCATGCAGGTCTGTTCTATAAGATGAAAAATAGTCTAAACAACAACTTTCACTGATCCTCTACCTCCTGTATACCAATGACCTGCCTGAAACAGAGAACACAACGATAGCCGCCTTTGCAGATTATGTCGCTATTCTTTCTGTAAATAGAAATGCAGTAACCTCTTAGATAAACATGCGAACTCATCTGAAACAGTTTAATGATTGGTAAAGAAAATTGAGAATTAAAATCAACCAAACCAAATCAGTCCAAGAAACGTTCACTACGTGCCGTAACCACAACGATAGCCGCCTTTGCAGATGATGTCGCTATTTTTTCTGTAAATAGAAATACAGGCACCTCTTCGATAAACATGCAAACTCATCTGAACAAGTCGAATGTTTGGTATAGAAAATGGAGAATTAAAATCAACCAAACCAAATCAGTCCGAGTAACGTTTAGTACGGGCCGTAATAACTGCCCAACTGTCAGTATTGATGGAGTGCCAGTTACGGTCAAAAGAAATGTGAAGTACTGAGGCCTACACCTAGATCAAAGATTAACATGGGAAAAACATGTACAAACATCAAATTCAAACCAATGTACTGGCTAATAGGCAGTAAATCTAAGCTATACACCTAAAACAAGCTGCTGTTCTACAAAGTAATGCTAAAACCTACATAGGCATACGGTGTGCAACTGTGGGATTGTGCAAAACCAACTAGAACGAAAACCATACGAAGATTCCAGCCAAAAACATTTCGATCCATTGTTAATGCTCCTTGGTATATTAGCAATCAAACTCTCCATGAGAACCTCAAAATTCCGTATGTCACAGAAGTAATTAGAACAGTTTCCACCAACTAACAAATGAAACTATCCAAATGATCGATTAGATAACCCATTACAGGGACGGACCAATTCACCGAAGATTATACAAAAACTGGCACGAAGACAATCTTCAACATAACAAATAGTGATTAGTGTTCTATAAGTGAAAATGCCAAAGGGCATCTCACTTCCAAGCTCAAACTTTGAACTCTTTTACTGAATACTATGTGTTGAAGTAGATTGTAGGAAGGCAGTGAATTGAAAAAAATTGACTCAGTCATTTTGAAGTTATAATTTTGTAAATCACAATCGTCGCGATTATAGAACTTGAAAAGATCTAACTATACCGTCATTTGATTTGTGATATATTTGATTAATTTTCATGATCTAACATTATACAGGATGGCTTGAAATGATATTTGAATTCAGAACTACTTGAATAACTTAATCTTCGTTGAGTTTTTCAACATTGTACTATTTCAAACCGTTCACAGCCTACTTATGAGATTGGTAAAATTTCAAGTTCAATTAAATGATTGAAATAATGTACTTTCATCAATAGTTTTCCATTTCAAGAGATAGCCCTCGTTTTTTTAGATTTTTTAGGTGCGCCCTGTGTATGTTATTAATTTCTTGCTAGAATATAGACTAAGTATAGACCCTATTGTCGAGTTTACATTCGTTTTTGAATCATGTTATTAACTATCATATATATGTTTGTATAACAGAACTCTTTTAAAAATGGAGAGAGTTAGCGAAACACATACAGGGTGGAGACTAACTGAAATAAATTCGCTAGCGGAAAGGTGAATGATTTTTCAAAAAATTCCCGAGACACACGTCAACGGTTATAACCTACATTATGCAAGTAATACTCTGAAAATACTCTGAATTCTTTTTAGAAACATCTGAAAATTAAGATCAACACATATTTGGACCAATTGTTACGTTGAAAATGATTCAAAATTTAGGAGTACCTTTTGATTTCATGCAACCCTCAAACGTACTAAAAACTAAGATTGGATCAATACGCTAGTTTCCTCTTTTCATCAGGTTATCAAAGAGATGTCACCAGCCATAGGGTTGCATTTGAAAAGAGCATTTTGAGGGTGATTTCAGCTACGCCTGAAGAGCTATATTTCTCATATTGCATGCGGAATGTAGGTAAAAACCTCCCCGCTAGCGAATTTATTCTAGTAAAGTGTCCACCCTCTATATTGTTCAGTGTATATAAAATGGGTGCTGAGAATTTTGAGGGCAATAGATTCTGTGAGAGAACATTTTCTACGCAAAATAAAGTTTTTTGTCAATTTCTAATGATAATGCGATACAAAAATTGATAACCGTATTTTTGACAAGTTATACGAATTTGTTCATTCGGAATATATTTTTGGAAACAATACAAATATTGAAAATCGTGAATGAAAGGTGACTACATGATCTTTCAAGAAACTATACAGGTTATCCGAGAGTTTTCATCCATGAGAAATCTGGGTTATTTCACACACAAAAAACTTCAGGAAACTGGTGGCATATAAGGTGGAATATATGGGATCATGTTCTCCTAGAATTACCCATTATTTGTTTGATATGCAGTTACATATTTCTTGAGTTCCGCCTTGAAATTGAATAGAGATGCTCATTTGAAAATATATATTTGTATTCAGGAATTTTGTTGATGTATATGCATAACAGCATTCAAATTTCGTAGTTGTATGTTGTAAACTTGTATACAGTAATCAATATGCGAATAAAGAAGTGATTCAACTAATTTATACTTAATTCTTTCTGATAATATGAATTTAAATTTATAAAGAGATTTCAATTTCATGTCGATAATCAAGCAAATTTTTTTTGTAACATGTTTCTCAAAGTTAAGATTTTCAAAAAAAATCACTCCCAGGTTTTTAACAGAATTGTTCCGAGATAGTTCTACTCCATCAATGTTGACAGTCGTAAAGTTGTTCATTTCGACTTTAGCTTTAACTGAATCAGTACCAATTATGAAAGCTACTTATTTTAGCATTTAGAGTTCGCCCATTATCCTTCAACCACTTAAATATTCTGGATAAATCTTCATTTACTTCTTCTAGAGATTGACTCGCTCTTGATGGCTCGAATGCTTTTATAATCTGGACATCATCAGCATATGAGTGTCTAGAGCATTGAGTAATTGAGCTATTAAGATCAGCAGTGTGAATACTAAACAATGTTGGACCTAATATACTACCTTGCGGCACACCGTATAAACTGATAGCTTGGTTCGATTTTCTTCCATTTACTCTTACAATTTCAATTATTCCTGTCAGATAACTTCTTAACCATTGGCAAACAGGTTCAGAGAAGCCATAGTATCC